AGAAGTTAGAATGTTAAGTATGAATAATGGAAATTGCATGGTGTATAAGAATAAAGGTGGATTTATAAGTTAAGTAAATTATTGTTGAGATAATTTCGAATAGAAATGATGTATATAATTGATTGATTGATTAGGGCTTGTGCCCTAGATTGAACAGTTACTATTGATGAGTTGTAATAGTAAAAGTGATAAAGTTGTAAGATTTGGAAAAGGTGTAAGGTTAAGTCAATCAAGTCTGATATGGATTTAGATATGGTAGTATATCCTGATAATGTAAATGTGGTATAGTTAAGAAGATATGGATTTGTGTATCTAAAGGATGCTAGAAGAGTATGAGAGTCTGAAGAAAAGATATGACCTATGTTATAAGAAGATTTTAAATTAGGGAAAAGTAATTGAATAAGGAAATGAAATGACTGAGTTTAAAGGATCAGATGTGATAAAAGTTATGTTGAAGTATAAATTATAAGTTGATTAGAAGTAAGAAAGGTTTGTCAGAGGATGTGAAATATTGTTTGATTCTGCAAGATGTATGTTTTAATTATCTATGATGAAGATTTAAAGTTATGTTTCTTGGTCAAGTAGAAGTAGTCAGAGAAAAAAAGAATGATTTATATGATTAAAGAAGTTAAGAGACAGTAAAGTGATGATAGAATGAAGTTGGAGTATGATTGCAAGGCAATTAGAGATTGATAAGTAAATTGATTGATTTATGATTTGAAGTGATAAGAACTGAAGTTAGTGTATACTTGATAAGTGATATGATATGGATGTATAAGGGAAGAAGGTAGATGAAGAACTAAAGGAATGAAAAGTAAGTTTTCTGATGGCGACAGGAAAGATTAAGTAAATGAAGCAACATGAAAACATTAGAACATATGTTCTTATCAAGATGTACAGTGAAAATTCGAGGACGAATTTTCTTTAAAGGAGGGGAGATTTGTATCATCCTCAATATCGAGCTAGTGACTTAAAGGTGAATTTTGAAAGTATTGTGTTCAATTTCGAAATAAGTTAAAAAGTTCAGAATTTTAATTGGAGAATTTTGAGGTTGGATTTAATAGTAAAGTTTGAAAGTAATAAGGGTATTATGGTCTTTTCTAAGAGAATATTTTTATTTCTCTTTTAAGGGATATAAAACGTGGGAAATGAGGGAAATGAGTTTCCAGAGTTTTCTTCTTCTCATTTTTTCTTCACGCATGGAAGCCAAGAGCTAAGGTGAGAATTTTTATTAGTTGATTATTATTTGAATTCTAAGTTGGTTTTGATTCTTTGGAAAGTAAGAAAGCTTAAGGAAGTCTAAAGATAAGTAAAAACTCAAAGATGAAGATGTTAGAAGAGATTAAAGAATATGGGGTTTTAAGTGAAATTTTGAATAAGAATGTTTAAACGAATTTGGAGAATGAATTTGACTTGTCATCTATAAGAATAAGAAGTTAGAAGTGTTATAATTAAGTTTAGATAACATGGAAACTTTGGTATAATTATTGATTTCCATAAGAAATATGGAATTTTGAGGTTATAGATGAGATAAATGAATATTAATGAGTTTAAGTATGTATATGTAAGTTAGGAATATGAAAAGGGATGAAAGATGAAGCGTTTGAATTGAATCAAGAGGATTTTTGAGCTCAAAACTGATTTCTGGGCTAGGGGGAATCAAAGGGGTACCGATACCCTCTCAAACGAGCAGAATTCCATAATGTCATGAGGGTATCGATACCCCCTAAAGGAAAATGGAAATGTTGATTTCTTAAAGTCGTTTAAGCTATTAGTATCAAGTTATAAGGTTAGATTTTGATAAATTGCCTTAAATTGTATATTTGTGTAGATACCGAGCATAAATCAGTTCCGGAACATTTGGCAAATAAGATCGATCAAGGGAAATATGAGAGATCAGTATTAACTTAATGAGGCCCAGGTGAGTGCATCTTATTTTATAGGATTATAAGGAAATTGGACTTGTGATAAGTCTATTTCTTATAGTTGTTTTATTATGCATGAAGTGTTGATTATAAGTAGGCGAATGACATGAAATGTATGTATGATTGATTATATGAGCTGATATGTTCTTGTATGTGTTATAATTTATGTAAGTATAAAGAATAAGTCATATGATAAGATCTACGTAATATATAGAATGGAAAATATATGTTTATGAAGAGTTATAAGAGAACCTACATAAATTATATGATAAAGGGAGTATAGGATTATGAAATAAAATATGTAAAAATAAAAGAATATGATGAAAGTGAATCCACGAGAAACGAAGAAACTAAATAAAATTGAGTTATAGAATGAAATGAGAATAATGTATCAATTAGGAAACTTAAATATAGAGTGATATGAGAAAATTATAGGAGTTATATGAAATTGAATTAAGTAAATTGATTAATTTGTATATAAAAGAAATAATAGAAGTAATATATATGTTTATCAGTATAATATAGGTTATGTAATATAAGTGCATACTAAGAAATAATGAATAAGATAGATGATGCGATGTAAATTATATTATGAATTAGTGATATATGAATGTGATATAAATATGTAATAAAACTTATGTGTTGTATGATAAATATGAACATATGAGAAGAAGAGATAAGATAAGTGACTTGTGATAGGAACTATATGACCATAAATTATGTAAATAGAAATACTTTAAGTGATATGTATCTCTGAATATTTGGATATGTATATAAACGATGTGATATATGAGGTCATATGAAATATTATATTATATGACTATGTGAGTATATGAAAAAGAATATAAGTACATGTGAATTATATAGAAATGATTTATGTAAACATGTTTGATATGTATTACATGTATGTGAATATAAGAGAATAAAACATAAACCATATGAAAAGATATAAGTCCTATGATATTACCTATGTGAATATATGAGAAAGTATATGAGTTATATGTATTACATGATATGTGTGATTTCACAAGAAATGACATGAGCTATGTGATTACATGATTATAAGATATCAGACATGCGATAAGAGATAAGTAATATGAATATGTGAATATGAAATGAAATAAATGATAATGCCCATGTTATGTGTCATGAGAGCTAGGGGTATAGTTGGCATGCCAAGAGTCGAGGGTCTACGCGGTCCTTCGAGACATATATGTATTCTTTGGAACATGTATGGGGTCTGTTGAGACACCTATGTGATCCTTGTCATATGTATATGATTCTTAAGGAATAATATGTGGTCCTTATGGACATTATTATATGGCACTACGGTGCAATTCTACGTGGCACTACGGTGCAATTCTACGTGGCACTACGGTGCAATTCTACGCGGCACTTCGGTGCATTTATACGAGCTGTGGTGACAGCATTTGTGCACAACCTCAATGCACTCAAATATCTTTAGTTCTCACTAGTGTATCATGGTCTAATAAAGAAACAATAACAAATACAATATATATATATATATGATGGATATGTTTTTGATTATACAAAATGCGTTATATGAATTGTATGATGTTATGGGTGTTTCTAGGTGAAATGATATATGTCTTATATGATATGCAGAAATGATAAATACAATATCATGTGATAAATAATTTGATGATAATGATATGAATAATGATAATAATATAAATGATAATACTAAGAAAGTAGATGATGTTATATGTACATGAGTGTATTTGTTATATAAAAAGATGTGTGATTTTGTATGAAATTGTTATATGATTTTGTATGATAAGTTAGTATTAAATGTTCATGTGTTTTGTTATATGGAATGTTTTATTTGCCTCACTAAGTCTTCGACTTAGCGTGTGATTGTTTCACACGTAGGTTCGAAAAGAATATAGAGAGCAATGTGGAGCTAGACAAGTCAGTATCTCCTTTACAAAGTTCAGATCAGAAAATATATGTAATTGGTATATAGAGGTAGTTGTCATGTAAATAAAGTTTTGGAATTTGATATGCTCTTATTGGTTTGTAAAATCATATGATACTACTTTTATGTAAATTAGTTAATTGTATTTAGTAAAAGTTTTAAAATTATTTACTATTTTGTTCAAGTAAAGGTTTTGAAAAGTCAATGTGACATATCGGACTCGTAGTCGGATCGGGTACGGGTTGGGGGTGTTACACAATAGGTCTAATATTTCTCCAAGATGCTCATTGAAGATTGATCTTCACAAGGCTTTTGATTCTATCAACTGGAACTTCATTTTATCCATCTTGAAAGCTATAGGTCTGCCTCCTATCTTTTCTTCTTGGCTGGAAATTTGTTTTACCACTGCTAGCTACTCTATTTCCTTTAATGGAAGTTTGTCTGGGTTCTTCAAGGGTGCTAAAGGACTAAGACAAGGAGACCCTCTCTCTCCATTGCTTTTTGTCCTCTCCATTAATGTCCTTTCTAAACTTCTCAATTTAGCAGCTATTAAAGGTATATTTGGATTTCATCCCAAGTGCAAAAGAATTGGTTTGACCCACTTATCTTTTGCAGACGACCTCCTAATTTTTTGCAAAGGAAATGTGGAATCTGTTATTGGTGTCTCGAGTGTACTAGATTATTTCTACGAGATATCTGGACTTAAACTCAACATTTCAAAAACAGAAGTTTTTTCTGCTGGAATGTCCTCTGCTGCTAAGGAAAATATTAAACAGATTTCTGGCTTTAACTTTGGCTCCCTTCCTGTTAGGTATCTCGGTATTCCACTGACTACTAAAAAAATTACTGACAGGGATTGTGTGAACCTTATTGAAAATATCAAAACCATATTGAATCACTGGTCCACTAAACTTCTGTGCTACGCAGGCAAACTGGAACTGATTAGAACAATCCTCTCTTCTATTTCTAATTTATGGTGCACGCAGCTCTTCCTTCCTAACTCTGTCCTTGCAAAGATTAAATAGTTTTGTTCTCGTTTCTTTTGGAAAGGGTCAGACAGAGCATCTTATGGAGCTAGAGTAAGCTGGTCCAACATCTGTTGTTTGAAATATGAAGGTTGGCTAGGAATTAAAAACATGAAGATTTGGAATAAGGCTTATATGATCCTCCTAATTAAGAAAGTCCTAGCAGGACAAGGGTCTCTTTGGGTGGCTTGGCTCAATTCTTATGTTTTTAAGGACAAGAACTTCTGGTCAGTGGAGATAAAACCTAGCACCAGCTGGTGCATGAAGAGGTTACTGAAAATGAGAATGGAGGTGCATCAATTACTGTCTACAGGAGCTGCCACTGCTAGTTCCATCTGGGATTCAATCAGAGAAAAGAGACCCACGGTTCCTTGGCAAAAACTGCTTTGGTACCCCATGCACATACCAAAATATAGCCTTATCACCTTGATGGCATTTCTTCATAGGCTCCCTACCAAGGTCCGGTTACAACGCATGGGAGTGATTATTGATTCTCATTGTGTTCTTTGTTCTGCAGAACCTGAATCAAGAGACCACCTCTTCCTTTTTTGTCCCACTGCAGCTTCCCTTTGGGAGTCCATCTTCTCTTTATCTGGATTGATTTTTTGTGCCTGCTCCTGGGGTGACTTCATGACTCAGGCATGTATCAACTTGAAAGGCAAATCCTTACTTTCCTTGATTATGAAATTGGCCTTGAACACTTTAGTGTATTTGTTATGGGAAGAGAGGAACAAACGTCTGTTCCAAGGACGTTCAAGGACTGTTGAAGACTTACTTAAGGCTATTAAAGATGTTGTTAGACTTCACTTAAAGGGTAGGACTTTTAATAGATTGCTTACAGTGAATTTTAACCTCTGCAACCACTGGAATATTACAGACCTTTGATTCTTTTTGTATGTAATCTGTTATGACTCTATTGTATTTTGTAGCTTCTTGCTATTTGGATAATAAAATCTTACTTATCCAAAAAAAAAACTAAAGTTTTGGTTTTGTTCTTTGTGTGTCTGACCGACGACTGTCTTGGACTTTGCTTTCGAGATCTGGGGAGGGCATCGGAGGATAGCAAAGGGTGAGACTGGTGCGTCCATAATGGCACATGTTTTAGTGGTGTTGTTGGAAGAATACATGGTTTCTTGTTATTGCAGAAGGTTGGCAGGTTTCTTTGTTTATGTGTTACATATCATTTTCCAGTTTGTTCATTTCACCCACCAGGGATTACATCATAACTACTTATATGAAAAATGATTTCAATATGCCATAATTTTTATTCATTTTTAAATTTAAATTTTTGAAAAATATTATATTTTTTGAAAAAAAGTAAGTCAATATATTACTTTTATTTGAAAAATATCCTTATTTCTTATTATTATTTATTGGTATGAGAGTTATATGTTTAAAATTTGAAATAGTATAGGAATATCTAGTATTTTAAAATCCATGACAAAAATATTTTTATAATGTAGATTAATGTAATATTTTTATACATTTTAATATAATTTTAGGTTAAAATTTAATTATAAATTTAACTCGATTTATTAAATGACTTTAATAGTTGAAATATCGTAAATTTTAAAAATATTAGGTTCAAGCAGTTGTGTTTGTGGGTAGGTGCATTATTAATATGGATATTGTGTCATTAATTATAAGTAATTGTTGTTGAAAAATGACACGACACAAGAAAATTAATAGATAATATTTCATTTGATTTTCAATTATAATTTGATTTTAATATTATTTAGTAATAATTTTAAAAAGAATAAAAAATCATTTTCCACAAAATATATAAAAAATGTATAACTTATTTGAGGACAAATTATATGTTTAATATTTTAACTATATTTTTGTTTTATTTTATCAACTAATTATTTTTTTATTTTAAAATAATACATAATTTTTCATTTTAATATTATGTAGCACATGTCATGTCATATAAAATAATAACGTAATAGGTGTCATATTAGTAATTGCACACATATAAAATTACCAAATCAGTATCATATGTTGATCGCTAATTAACTAATAACTTTTATTCATAAAAATATTTTAATAAAAAAATAAAATATTTAAAAATAATAATTTTAATAAATATTGGAGTTAGTTTTAGCATTATGTCAAAAAAAAAGAAAGGGGGGGGGGGGAAGCTGAAAGAATGGCAAAAAGATATGTGGATTGAGGCAAACTTACGCAATTCTAACTGCCAACCAAGCATATAAATATGATAGAGAAAGCACAAGCAAGCTAAACAAATCATCTTATCCATCATTCATGGCCTCCTCGGCTCTCCCTCTGCCACTCTCCCTGACATCAACCACAGTCAGCACCGCCAAAAACAACCCTTCCCGTTCTCCACCCACCATCATCTCCTCCCCACCCCCCAATCCAACTCTCAAAACTCCCACCATCCGTTCCCGCCTTAGCAGAATATGCCAACAAGGCCAACCCCACCTTGCCCGCCAGCTCTTCGACACAATTCCCCAACCAACAACAGTTCTTTGGAACACCATCATCATTGGTTACATTTGCAACAACATTCCCCGTGAGGCCCTTTTATTCTATTCCTACATGAAGAATTCCTCCTCTCTCACCAAATGCGACCCTTATACTTACTCCTCTGTTCTCAAAGCTTGTGCTCTGTTGCAGAACTTTCGCATAGGTAAAGCCGTGCATTGCCATTTCATTCGGGGTTTAACATACCCAAGTAGGATCGTCTATAATGCTTTGTTGAATTTTTATGCTACTTGTTTGAGTTCTATGGACAGTAAGGAAATGGGTGATTATAGTAAAGGCTTCTATTATTTGGAAAATGATTTGGTATGTAAAGCATTTAATGTGATGCGTAAGAGAGATGTGGTGGCTTGGAATACTATGATTTCGTGGTATGTAAAGACAGAGAGATATCTGGAAGCAGTTAAGTTGTTTAGGAATATGATGAAAACAGGGATAAAACAAAGTGCAGTTAGTTTTGTTAATGTTTTCCCAGCTATATCCGGTTTAGAGGACTGTAATAATGCCGAAGTTCTGTATGGGATGCTTCTCAAGTTGGGTGGTGAATGTGTTGATGACCCTTTTGTTGTTAGTTCGTCGATTTCCATGTTTGCAGAGCTTGGTTGCCTTGATTTTGCTAGGAAAATATTTGACAACTGCTTGCAGAGAAATATTGAGATTTGGAACACTATGATTGGAGGGTATCTTCAAAATAATTGTCAGGTTGAAGGAATTAAGCTTTTTTTTAAAGCTATGGAATCAGAAACTGGCTTTGATGATGTCACTTATCTCTCAGCAGTAATTGCTGTTTCACAGTTGCAGCGATTGGATTTGGCACAGCAACTACATGCCTATATAATTAAGAATGTACACAAATTATCAGTTATTGTGGCCAATGCAATACTTGTTATGTATTCCAGGTGTGGTTCAATTCACACATCATTTGAAGTTTTCGATAAGATGACTGAAAGAGATGTCATTTCTTGGAATACTATGGTTTCTGCTTTTGTACAGAATGGGTTGGATGATGAAGGGTTGTTGCTCGTATATGAGATGCAAAAGCAAGGTTTCTTAGTTGATTCTGTGACTGTAACTGCCATACTTTCAGCGGCATCAAATCTTAGAAACCAGGAAATTGGAAAACAGACCCATGCTTATCTTCTTAGACATGGCATTCAATTTCAGGGGATGGATAGTTATATTATAGACATGTATGCTAAATCTGGTTTGATTAGGAATTCAATACTACTTTTTGGAAAAAGCAATTCTGGCAATAGAGATCAGGCCACGTGGAATGCTATGATTGCTGGTCTTGCTCAGAATGGCCTTATTGAAGAGGCTATTGTTGTCTTCAGTCAAATGCTTCAGCAAAATGGAATGCCCAATGCTGTGACATTGGCATCAATTCTCCCAGCATGTAGTGTGATGGGGAATTTAGATTTAGGTAAGCAACTTCATGGATTTTCCATTCGGAATTTGTTGGACGTAAATGTCTTTGTGGGAACAGCTTTAGTTGACATGTATTCAAAATCCGGTGCCCTCAAACTTGCTGAAAATATGTTTTCGAATATCCCCCAGAAGAATTCTGCCACATACTCCACAATGATATTGGGTTATGGTCAGCATGGGATAGGTGAGAAAGCTCTCTCTTTGTTTCACTCAATGCAAGCTTCCAACATTAAGCCCGATGCCATTACCTTTGTTGCGGTCTTATCAGCTTGTGGCTATGCTGGGTTGGTTGACAAGGGCCTTCATATATTTAATTCAATGGAGAGAGAGTTTAACATCCAGCCCTCTGTGGAACACTATTGCTGTGTTGCTGACATGCTAGGGAAGGTTGGGAGGGTGGAGGAAGCCTATGAGTTTGTTGAGCAATTAGGTGAAAAGGGTAATTCCTTGGAGATTTGGGGATCACTTCTTGCAGCTTGCAGGCTTCATAAAAAAACTGACCTGAGTGAAGTTGTGGCCAAGAGGCTGCTTCAAATGGACGTGGGAAACAATACAACAGGATATCATGTTTTGCTCTCAAATATTTTTGCAGAGGAAGGAAACTGGGAAAATGTTGATAGAGTGAGAAAAGCAATGGAGGGTATGAGGAAGGATGTTGGATGTAGTTGGATTGAGGTGGCTGGTTGTGTGAACTATTTTACTTCAAAACATCAAGAACACCCCCAATCTGATAAGTTATATGAATTGTTAGGACTGCGCAGAGAGTGGAAAAGATGTTGATTACTACAAATCCTTTCAGAGTTCTTGTCTACTTGGGATTTCTGAATTTGATTACTGAAGAGGAACATAACTCATGGACACTGATGAAACCTCGAGACTACAAATGGGAGATGAACATGTTTTTCCTCTAGATTACACATTGTGGGATTCTCTGTCCTGTTTAAAGATTCGGAGCTTTATTGATTCGGGCTTAAGATTTCTGGAGCATGGTATTAGAGGCTGGTTCGAGTAGGTTGCCACCTGCTTGCTAGCAGTATCCCTTGTCATGGTATTTGGTATGTAGCTTGTGCATTGGAGAGCGAGTTGGTTTAGATTTAATCTGGTCGAATCATGAAAGGAGCATCATGTTCATTGTTCAGGTTTGTAACAGGCAAAACTTCTCTTTCCTTAAGACTCCACCACTATAAGAACAACTTGATATGCCAGCTAGATAATGTATCTGATAAAGAAGTTTCCATATATACTTTCATGTACAATGTATGAAACCTGTCAACATTGGTTCATAGTGGTTTAAACTAATTAAATATAAGGATTTTTAGGGCTTATGGTTGGGATAGGATAAAGCACTATGGTTCAGATTGGACTAAATTGGGACTTAAAATATGATGTGGGTGTGGAAGTTAGATTTTAAATCCAAATTTCGTGACATCAGAAAAAACTAGTGATCATAGCACTTTTATCAATAGACCCTTAAATTGTACTTACAGGGTTTATTATTTCTACTATTTTCTCACAATCCCGTCTTCAACATTTGCAGGTCGCAAGTTTCCACCTTCAAATCTACGCCTCTTCATTTTCAGAGTATGACCAAAGTCCTTTGATGAATGATGAACTGATTGAGCCATGGTATTTTAGATGTACAAGTATGTACTTTTGTATCGGGATTCACTAAATATTCATTTCGTTTGTACAATTGCATTGGTTGTATGATAGTGGAATTATAGGATGGACTCTAAAGCGCTTCTATAACACTTGAACAAGATATACATAGATGATTTTTCTTACTTGGATCATACATTCGAGATCATATTACGAGTATCATATTATTAAAATGATTAAAATATTAAAAAATCTTAAATTAAAATTCTTTAGATTGAATTCGAGATCTAATATTAATTAAAATTGAAACAATATCTTCCTTATCAATAGACCATGATTTAATTTTCATAATTGGACGAAAATAATGAAAATATTATGATTTAATTCTTTTGCATTGGTATTTTTTTAATCATTTTGATCCGATGTCACTTGAATATTATGAGTATCATATTATTAAAATGATTAAAATATTAAAAAATCTTAAATTAAAATTCTTTAGATTGAATTCGAGATCAAATATTAATTAAAATTGAAACAATATCTTCCTTATCAATAGACCATGATTTAATTTTCATAATTGGACGAAAATAATGAAAATTGGCCCTTTCATAAATTTTCATAATCGGACGACAATAATGAAAAATGACCCTTAACTAGATGGTTTATGTAGTGTACCTTTTCTTAATTATATGTGAAATAAATCATTTCATTTAAAAAAAATCAACATATAATATCCACCTAATGTTATTATATTAACAAGATTACCAAAACAAAATAAATAATCCTCATAATAAAAACCCATGAACGCTTAAATTTTCATTTCCCAACTTATCAAAGAACACTTGAAATCAAATACATTAAAGATGAGCCTGTGAAGGAAACATATTAACCTCTGAATGAATAAAAAATCTAGATTTAACCCCCTCGAACCTCCCCCAAAAGAGAAGAAAAAAGAATATTCTTACATATCCTATATAGCTGTAATGAAAACTAGCACAAAACCTTCTATCGTACCAATCTAAAATGAAAAAGAAGGCGGTTTTAGCAAACAGAATCACCAGTGGAAACAACATATTCATGTCTGATTTTGGGGACAAGTATTTTGCCTGAACATAGACATGGATAAACAACTAACGGAAGAAATACTTACTCTAAGTCTGCCTCAATTCTAGCTTTATAGAATCCACATGACACATTGGACATCTACCATGTAGCACTTTACAGTACCCCATACGCGGTAAACCGGAACCTCCGAGTGTGGAGAAGCAAATTTATTTCTTTCCTTTTGCATTTTTCTCATCATAACATTCTTCATCATCGTAATATTCTTCATCATCGTAATATTCTTCATTATCATCATCATCATTGGAGTCATCATCGTCGTAATAATATTCTTCATCTTCATCACTCTTGCCATTTTGCAACAGAAAAGTAGAATCCCTGGACAGCTGCCCCCTCAATCGCTCCTGGATTCTATCCCTGATTGCAGTGCCCTGAGGAGCACCCAAAGTTCTCAAGTGAGATAACATCATTGTTAATTACATTCCTGAAATTTTTATATGCATCCGATTGTCATTTCTATATGCATAGGTTATTAGATTTGCTCACCATTTTGTGGCAACCTTCTTCAAACATCTCAAGAAATCCAGCAACCCAACGGTCAGCATTTTCCACCCACTCATTACGATGCATAGCTGCGATTTGTATCTGCAAGTATTGACGGGTAAGATTAGTGAACTACTAAATCACATTCATATTATGATAAGGTTAGGGACTTATAAGTTATAAATAACAGAAAAAAGGATGTACAAAAGAAAAATATTCCAGATCCAGGCAACTGGTATGTGGCCACCTGTGCAAGTACATAACACATGCATACACACATATACACAAAATAAAATAAAAAATATATGAATCTGATGCATAAATATAAACATTTATACACACAAAATAAACAAATATAAAGGTGATTAACTGTCTCAAACTCAGAAAACTGTAGTATAATATTGTTGCTAGAAAAAGTTAATCTCATATTCCATAACTTTAGTGATCCTTTCTGCTGAAATCCAGGGGATGGAGGTATGCAAAGTTTAATTCCCAACACAAAATTCCCTTGATGAAATATATTTCTTATTTTGGGTGCTTATGAAACACATTGGCTTGAACAGACCAGGCAAAAATACATGGAATTAAATGTAGACCAATTTGATCAAGCAATGAAAGTGAATATACTTCAATCTACAGAACATAACCCTGTATTAATGTCTTATACTTTAATCTAAAGGCAATAGTCCCCTAATATAGTGGATGTTACAGCTATGTTCTTTAACCAGACAGACAAGTCCGCCTTTTCCAGCCAGCATGATTTAGAATTTAGCAATCTACCTTTAGATTTTCAACACTGCCAAACATTGGACCAACCTGGCAACCGGATTTTAACAATTCTAAAGTTGGCTTTTAGACGCATTTTCCCCAAGGTAAATGACTTTTTTTTGGATGTTTGTTACTACAAATGTAAGTGTGTGTGGGTTAATTAACTATTTACATATAAGGGGCCGACTACTTGAGAAGCATGAAGATGTGATGACGAGGGGGAACATTGTGCAGATATTTACCAAATACCGAAGAGTTGCAGGGCTGTTCGAGTCAACATAAACATGCACAAATGGATTTTAAAGACAGAAGAAAAGCCAGGTAATGAATATTAGCTTGCTTGCCATTGAGGCAATTCAGTCAATACTGAAGTTTCAAGGAGAACAACATATAAAAGGACGGTATGGATTATACTACCGTAAACCAAAATGTTTCACTGGAATGAATTATGGAGTGTAGACTTCATCATATGAAAATATATTAGACATGCACAGATTCAAACTCTAGACGATAATATCAATGTGAAGTTGACAAAACTAGAACCAATATAATTGTTTGCTACTAGATATACAACAAAAGAGTGAAAATTAATTAAACTAGATATCAAGGTATGACAGTGGGCATACCTTTTCACCCACTTTTTCTTGTTGCTCCTTTACTTTTTCACGCAGTATCTTCAATCTCATGTTCACTCTCAATCTTTTTTCCTGTTGAAATTAATGGAAATTTCAATAGAGAAACATTATTAGCGAAACCAAGAGATTCAATAAAGAGATCTCACCTTTACAAAGCTGACTCCAAGCTCTTTCCTCGAATAGCCTCGGTCTAGGTTACGTAATACATACTGGTTATAGTCTTTAACAATTCTCATTATAATATCTGATGTAGAAATCCCTTCAGTTCGTTTTGTTTCCTTGAACTTCCCGGCAGCTTTCACCTGAGAACAAGAGCTTGCTTAATAATACAACACAAAGTTCAAAAAGAGCACCAAAGTAATAAGTGCAAAGAGTCACGTCAATAAACTCACAAACTCATACATGTCATTTGCAGCTCCACTGGCATCCGCATAGCTGTAAAAGATTTATGAAAAAGTATAAAGACTACAAGAATAGATAAATTTCAGGTATTTGTATATTTATGAGAAACTAGAGTTTAACAGGACCAAAGACTAGAAAGAAATAAGAAAATAAACAAATATACAGCAATTTACTATTTAAACATTTATTTTCGAAACATTGAGACATTTGACATGAATGACTTAGTCTCAAAGAAAGAATTGCCGATCCTTACGGAAGCGAATCATGAGCAACATAGTCAATTTTGTGTTTATCAATAAATTCTTGATCGATCACCCAAGGGGCATCAGGAATGACTTCATCAACCCACCTGTAAGAAATTAATAACAAAGTCCTTAAATGAAGGTGCTGATACTGATAGAAATTAATAAAAAATTATATATATATATATATATATATATATGACTGAAACAAATTTATATATTAAATATAAAATATCTCGTAAAAAATGAGGCAACCGCTTCTGCCACTTGCTTTTTACTTTGAAAAACACATTGACTGGCCCATCCAATATCTTAAAAAAAAGGTAAATTACACATTTAATGACTAAACTATCAGTTTTAGTTTGTTTTAGTACCTTAAAGTTTTAATTTTTTCAAAATAATATCTAATATTTAGTTTTTATTTAATTTTAGTACCCACAGTTAAAAATTTAAAACTTTAATACCTAAACTATCAATTTTGTCGTCATAGTACATAAACTTTCAATTTTTTCAAAAATTAATGTTAAATTTTGAACAAGAATACTAATATGAAATAAAAATTAAACTTTATGAATGATTTTAAAAAAAATTTAGGCACTAAAACGAATCAAAACTGATAGTTTAGGTACTAAGCATGTAATTTACTCTAAAAAAATTACAATTTTAGTTGTTAATTCTTCAAATTTTCTATTTCTCTTGCATCCAAAGGTACATGTTGCTTGTAACAAACAAACGCAAAGCTCAGGCAGACTGTACCTGTAACCCCCAGACCGATGGGGGTAGCCCGATCCGATCCGGGAAGTCACATTAGGGCCACCGAAGCGACCCACTGTAAAAATAGCGGAAAATTTAAAACTTTTTATCAGATCATGTAAACTTATAAAATCAGTTTTCACTATTTAAAAATAAAACAGATTTCCAAACTCGTATATAAATCAAAATACAATTACATGCCCCCTAATCACATGTACCATACTTTGCAACAACGCCGTACGAACTCCCTTACTGAAGTCAATAGATGCACTGGTACAATTCTTTTAACCTGAAAATGTGAGTAATAGAGTGAGCTTTGGAAAGCTCAGTAATACAGAACTACCAGATGATGCTGATGAACATGCAGATACAGATAAACATATTTTTCCTTATTGATTCCGATATTTACAGATTTCTTTGGCTGAGCTGAGGTTCATTGATATCGCAAGTAATGACAGATAATATTCATTTCAGATAGAAATATTTCGGATGTCTAGGTTCAGGAGATCAGAATAGGTTTTCTAGTGTGTTCCCAAAAATCATGTAACTTTTCAGATCTTTTCTAAAAAAACATATATATATATATATATATATATATATATATATATATATATATATATATATATATATATATATATATATATATACCCCCATCCAACAAGTCCAAGTTGTGTAGGT